GCATATTCATTGCACCCCGGAAGTACGAAGATGTACCAAGATCTGAAGGAAGGATACTGGTGGCCCAACATGAAGAGAGATGTGGCAGAATACGTAGCACTCTGTGATGTGTGCCAAAAGGTGAAGGCTGAGCATCAGCGACCGGTAGGTTTGTTGCAACCCCTTAGGATTCCCGAGTGGAAATGGGATGAGATAGGTATGGATTTTGTTGTTGGATTGCCCAAGACCGCAACAGGATATGATTCCATCTAGGTGATCGTGGATCGACTCACCAAGACAGCGAGATTCATCCCCGTCAAGACAAATTATAGCAGTGCCAAGCTAGCCGAGTTATACATGACCAGGATAGTATGTCTTCATGGTGTACCTAAGAGGATTATATCTGATCGAGGCACACAGTTTACCTCGCATTTCTGGGAGAAAGTACATGAAGCCCTAGGAAGTTACCTTGTGTTTAGCACAGCTTATCACCCACAAACAGATGGCCAGACAGAGAGAACCAACCAGGTTCTAGAGGACATGTTGAGAGCTTGTGCATTGGATTTTAGCAAAGACTGGGAGAGATGTTTGCCCTACGCCGAATTCTCCTACAACAACAGCTTCCAAGCGAGCCTAAAGATGTCGTCAAATGAGGCATTATTTGGTCGACGATGTCGCACCCCATTAATGTGGACCGAGACAGGTGAACAGGTGGTATTTGGACCTGACATTATCAAAGAAGCTGAAGAAAAGGTTCGCCTGATTCGAGACCGTCTAAAAGTAGCACAATCACGACAGAAGAGTTACGCCGACACCCGAAGAAGAAACCTGGAATTTAAGGAAGGAGATTACGTTTATCTAAAGGTTTCTCCGATGAGGGGAACGAAAAGGTTTAAGGTCAAAGGAAAACTAGCACCAAGATATGTGGGACCTTTTCAAATCATCGCTAGACGAGGAGAAGTTGCCTACCAGTTACAGCTACCCGAAAATATCGCCGATGTGCACCCAGTCTTCCATGTGTCTCAGTTAAAGAAGTGCTTACGAGTACCGGAGGAACAAGCTCCGTTGGAGGAAATTCATATTAGCAATGATCTCACGTATCCAGAACACCCAGTCTAGATATTGGATGAAGCAGAAAAGAGGACTAGGACCAAAGTGTGGCATATGTACAAGGTACAATGGAGTAATCATACTGAGGATGAAGCCACCTGGGAAAGCGAAGAATTCTTGAGGACGGAATACCCGCATCTATTCGAAACCTGATAAGAAATCTCGGGACGAGATTTATTTAAGGGGGGTAGGTTTGTAACACCCTGAAAATTCGACCGACAAAAATCTAAACTCTAAAAATATGGGCCTTCAAAAACTTTTTAAATAAATTGCATCATGCCGATTTTATTCGCCTATTCCATTGGATTTTGATTTCGGAGTTTGTTGATCGCGAATAAAGAATAATTAATTAGGAATAAAACCTAAAATTAAATGAGCAAAATAAATAACTGAAATATAATTTAAAATAAAGGTTGAGGTGGGGCTAGAAATGAATAAAATATCATCATAGTCATATTTGTATTAATTAAATCTAAATACGACGGAATAAGAATTAACCCTAATTAAATATTCAAATAAATTATATAAATAAAATATGAGTAATATTAATCTAGAGTAAATCCATCGGTTGGAATGACACAAATATTGAGTAAACTTCATTTATACAAAATCCAGGATTTATAGAATCAAGTTTACAAGAAATAGGCTAAAATGGGGATTAAATAGGAAAAGACACTATTCATCGGCCGCTAGGTATTCGACGTGGTCCCCTAACCTAGCCCCTCCTCTTTCCCAATTTCTCTGTCGCCACCTTCACCACGCGCCGCCGCCCGTCGCGCCTGGCCGTCTCGCACCCCGAGCCGCCGAGCGCCGTCGCCATCGTCACCTGCCGCCGCGCCGCCGTCGCCATCGCCGCCTGTCGCCGTCGCCATCCCATCGCCGCTGCCGCGCCGCGCCGCCGTCGCGTCGCCTCGTGCCGCGCGCCTGGCCGCCTCGCGCCCCGCGCCCCGTACCTGTCGCGCCGTCGCGTCGCCGCGCGCCGTCGCCACCGCCGCTGCTGCGCTGACGCCGTCGCCGTCGCGTCCCGCCTCGCGCCGCGCGCCACCACTGCCGCGTCGTCGCCGTCGCCATCACGTCGCCGCGCGCGCGTTCCATCGCCACCTCGCGCCCCGCGCCGCCGTCGCGTCACCCGCCCCCTCTCTTCCCTCTTCCCCTTACTCCCCCCCTCTCCCCTATAAAAGCCCCACCGTTCTCCCCTCTCCTCACTCCATCTTCCCCCTCCTCTCCCTCTTCCCCTTCTCCACGCGCCGCCGTCGTCGTGCCGCCGCGTCGCCGTCTTCGAGCCGCCGCGCCGCCGCCCTCGTGCTGTCATGCCGCCGCATTCGTGCCGCCGCGCCGCCGCCTCAGTGTGCCGCGCCGTGCGCCGTCATCGCCGCCGCCGTCGTCGCCACCACCGCCATCGGTGAGCCGCTGCCCCCCCCCCCCCCTATTTTTTTCCGTGCCGCCGGGTAGAGAGGGAGCCGAGAGAGAGCGAGGAAGGGAGAAGCCGAGGGAGAGAAAGAAGAAGGAAGGAGGTGAGAAACCGGGAGGGAGAGAGAGAGAAAGAAAAAGAAAAGAAAAGAGAGAGAGAAGGAAAAGAAAAGAAAATAGACAGAAGGAAAAAGAAAAGAAAAGAGAGAGAGAAAGAAAAAGAAAAGAAAAAGAAAGGAAGGAAAAAGAAAAAGAAAGGGAGAAAAAGAAAAGTGAAATAAATAGGAAATTAGAGGGAGATTAGGGAAGTTTAGAAAATTTAAAATAATTAGAATTTAATTATAGATTAATTATAGTCGAAGAATTGCGAAATTTAATATAAATTATGGATTATTCTTGGTAATTTCTATAATCAATCAATTCGCGGTAGTAATTTAGATGTAATTAATAACTAAACAAATAGATGAATTCTTATAGATTATTTTTGGGTAATCTCTATAAGTAATCGATTCACGGTAGAAATTCGGATTTAATTACTAGGGATTTTAGCCGTGTGTTATATTTAATCGTTTAATCATAGACTAAATTAAATCGTACAATATTATAAGATGATTTTTGGATTTTGTCCGATATTTAGCTCGCGATAGAAATTTCTAACCTATTATATGGATATAATGCTCGGGTAGATTAAATTAAAAACTTATGATAATAAAATATTTATACCCGCAAAAATAGTTTAGGATGTATAAATCGAGATTGGGTTTGCCCTAGTTCGCGAATAGTAAAGTTAATATAAAACAGTCGACTTTCGCATTCGACTTCCATTTGGATTTATTTGGATTTTTATTTGGATTCTAACCGAATTCAAATCAATTTTCGCACGTAACTATAGAGCCCGAGGGAGTTGTGGATCCAAGTGAAGGCCAAGACCCGCAAGACTTTGAACAAGGCAAGTCATCACTATTCTTTGAACATGTTGATCCCAATTGCGAAATTATTTTTATTTACAAATAAAAATTGCATGCAATGACGAACATCCTACTTGTGATTATGCCATGCCTTGATTATTGTTTACCCTTAAATCCTTGTAACCATGATTTACGTATAAGTCCCTAGTCAACTATGACAAATGCTTAGAAATGCTACTCTAGATTTATGCATACTCATATTTATCAAATGCTATATGCTTGGGCAATTACCTTTGGGAAGGTAATTGAGATGCGGCATGTGGAGACATGAGCGCCACATTGCCATGATGTTGATGATATGATTTGTGAAAGGAGAAATAAAATTAAACAACTGTTTTCGACTGGGCGGACGGAGGATTTGGGTGGTATCTGAAAAAGGCTAGTACCGTTCCCGGTCAATTAAGGACCGAGCCATGAAGTTAAGCATGAAACGACCCCCGTACAACCGTACTTCTCGTATTGGTATAGACCTAGCGGATTAGATAGCCGAGCGGAGGCAGTATCCCTGTATAGATGGTTCACCCCTGAGTGAGGCAGGTGCGCTACGGTGGGACAGCCGTTGAGGTAGGGCCGAGAGGCGTGCCCTACATCGGTGTCGCCATCGGTAGGACTGCCATGAGTGTGTGAGAGAGAGAACTTAACTTGAACCATAATTTAATATGTGTGTGAGACTTCTCTTTCCCGGGAGCGCCAGAACTCCTCTCACTGCTAGAAACATGGACGCCTAGAGTGCATGAGGATTTAAGTTCATGGAGCGGGTACTGCCAATGCGAGGTTATCGAAAAGCTTTGCCGTGACGCGTCTCATGTGTTGGGACGAGGCTCATGTGTTGGGCAGTCGCGGAGTGCGGGTAAAGTGTACATCCACTACAGTGTGAGTAAACCAAATCTATTCGAATAGCCGTGCTCACGGTTATTGAGCACTGGGACATGTATTACACTTGGCTAGACTCTAAATTCTTAACTTGTGTGGGATGGAATATTGCATGATGATTTCTATACTGATGGAGCCACTTCCTGAGAGGCGGGAATGTGGACGTCCTCAGAAAACAATGGCGGGAAGCTATCCTTGGGATCACAATGGATGGTGGACAAAACCGTCATTGTTTAATATGAACACTAGTACTAAAATTTGATCAATCTGTGCTAGGTCTTAGGCTTGTGAAAAGAATTACAAAACATGCTTTGCGTAAAAGAACCAAAGCCATCCTTTGAATACCCCTATCATATGCATTGTTGCTGTGGTGGCTTGCTGAGTACGGATGGTACTCACCCTTGCAATATACAAACTTAATCAGAGGTCGGAGATGAAGCTTCGGAGGATCCCTACGCTTACTACCAGGAGGGTGATGAAGACGATGGCGCTCAGTAGGTCTTAGTTACGGTCGTTGCCTGTGGCAATGGCGTTCCGCTGCCTTACCTACTTCTATTTTTGGAATGAATTCCGGACCGCTCGGTCCGATGATTTAAGACTATGCCTGCGGGCTTATGATGTAATAATTCGTACTAGACACTCGTGTATGTGCACTTGGTATTTCAGCTATGAATTCGTGTGTACCAGACAACTTGATCCAGGGAAATGGTACTGTTTACACGATTGATTCCTGTTATAAAAACGGGGGTCTACAACCTCCTTTTCACTTTCGCAGTCCTCCTGTAAGTCCCGCAATATTTGACCAAGTTTATCAACACCGTCATTCCCTTCAACATCCAGCTTCGCCTCGCCCATTGTGTTTTCTTCAAATCCGCCATACTGAGCCCAGTCCGGAATGTTCTCATCTTCTACTTCATCTTCTTCCATTGCAATCCCAACCTCTCCGTGCGATGTCCAACAATTGTAGCTACGCATGAACCCCCACTGAAACAGGTGGGCATGAATAGTTCGTGTGGTGGAATACTCCTTCTGGTTTTTGCACATGTCGCATGGACAACTTATAAAACCGTTACGCTTGTTATCATTGGCCACACAAAAAAATAATGCACGCCGTCAATAAACTCTTTCGACCGCCGATCCACGTACATCCATTGCCGATCCATCTATATGAAATACATATAAATCGTAATTATACAAAATCCAAGATTTACGAGGTAATTACATAATAATACAATAATTGAATATAATTATTCATACAATTAATCATTATTATTAAATTCATTGTACATATTTTTCATGTTTTAATTACATTATAAACAAATATTTAATATGTTTTTCTTATTTTAATATTAAATTAGCTTAGTTTTATAATTCATACAAAATTATATGTAATTATTCAAACAAGTATTTATAATCTTCTTTATTCCCTACACACACTTTCTCTCTCATCATATTCCATCACATTTTCTAGAGGGAAAAATATGTAAAAAGAATAGCTCCAAATGTAGATGCTAAGCAAAACAAAGAGTAGGATGAAGTTGCTAACCTTTTGAAGACCTCAAATTTGTATATTACCACCAAAAAAATTTTCTTAAAATTTTGACAGCACCTCCCTCCCTCAAAGCTTAATTTTGAAGCAATGGCTCGGGCTGGAGGAGGAAGAAGGGGCATATAAAGCTGTGCAACTTTAGTCCCGGTTGGTTAAAGATCTCAAATCACTTTAGTCCCGGTTTATATTACCAACCGGGACTAAAGATATGATCTTTAGTCCCGGTTGGTAACACGAACCGGGACTAAAGATCCCAAGCCTCCCGACAGAGGTCTGACATGTCCTGTCAGGAGGCGAACCGGGACTAAAAATTACCAACCGGGACTAAAGATCCCTTCGTCCCGTTGAAGTAATAAACCGGGACTAATAAGACACTTTAGTCCCGGTTCGTTTTGGAACCGGGACTATTGTGGAAATCGGCCGACCCTTCAAAGACCTCTTCTCCAGTAGTGTCACAAATGACTTAAAGTACATATTCCTTTTGTGTAGTTTATATTTTTTTCCTAATTTTTGCTAAATCTTTGCTAGAGACACATACCTGCAAAGAAGCATACAGATAATTTTCATACCTGCAAAGAACAATACCATCTGCTAAACATAGAACTTCATAGCTGTAAATCCAACACATGGCAATTTCAGTATATTAAAATGAACACATAAATCATATAGGCATTATGATGATATTAAATGAACCGTTTTCTCAGGAATGTTCATGTTACAGTACACACTATAGAAAAAGGCACTTGGGAGACAATGATAATAATCAAATAAGAAAAAATGACAAAAATGTAAAATGCTCTTACATGAAGGAATGCAGTCCATTCTTCCAGAGCTTATTCACTGCTTTCAGTTTCCATACAACGAAAATTGGTTGCCTGTTGACCTAGGTCATGGAGCTCTTGGCAGTGACACTCAATTGATCAATACTATGCCAGCGTTGCATCGTGATCTTCGGTTCCGTAGAGAGATCACCTGCAGGTAGCTAGCCATGAAAGTGATCTGAATGAGGCCTGAACAAGGTAGCATGCAGATTCAGTTTTGTTTGTAAATCTGAGGAAAAATAATCAAATCCTGCAGGTAGCTAGCCATGGCGTTTTGATTAGTATGGCAAGTAGAAAATGTGATCAAATAATCAAATCAATAATGTTGAAACTTCAGGCCCAAAGCCTAACCAAACCACTCTTTATATGTTAGCTTCATTATCCAACAGTTCCAATAGTCAGATGCAAAGCCAACAACATACATAAATATTGGATGATATCTGCTCATAGACTATGGAAACCATTCGTTAGAAAATCAACAACATACAAAAATGCTTATTTTGTGCATTTTAGTTATGTATAGACTTGATGTCTCTTGCAGCTAGACTTGGTCAGCCAACAAATTTGCAGGCTTGCATGCATGTTTAGAAAAATGATATAGTCTTAATATTATTACTACTGTCAAAACACGATACAAATCAACATGGACAGCTAAGTGATGAAAACCAAAAATCATCAGGAGAGTATCAATGCAATAAGTGTCACCATATATGTAAAGTTCTAACAACTACAAAATCTACAGAGAATAGGCAATACAACATCCAATACTATATCCAATGAACCATTTTCTACACAGAACGACCGTCGCCATTTGTTCAATTCATTCCCTGATTCATTGTGTTTACTGCATTGTGTTGAATACTGCCAGCGTCGCCGCGTTGATGGAAGATCGATGGCAGGGGGATTTAGGGGGGCGAGGATTGGGGAGAAGGGGTTATGTACCTTCGGCAGCGGAGGGACGGCGGCGTGGCTCCATATTCATAAAACATCACACAAAATCGATCCTTATGGATTTTAGCCATGTTGTCCTGTACTTTTTAAAAAGTCATTATCCTATTTGTCTCTAGCAAACTCAGTCTCATACTATGCAGCTGATGCCCGATGAAGCAATAATTCAAGCAGAACCAAACAATTTCGGCACAATGTAGTTTGAGGAATCTTTTAAAATTAGTGATCATCGTCATTTAATGGATACCTGCATTTGCACTGCAAGTTAAACTCAGCGAAATACCTGCAAATTCAGAAAATTACATGCAAATTCAGAGATATGCATGTTGCCCTGCTGTTCAATATAGCATCTCGCTGGCCCTGGCTGCTGGTGGCCGTGACTGTCGTTGGTCTCAGGTCGCTTCTTTGGGGCGGCGAGGGATCACATTTCTCTAGCAGAATATGCACGTAAGCATGTTAATCACTTCTATAGCGAGCGAAACCGATAAATCAAAGGGCACAGCACGATGGTAATCACAAAAGCCAATAGAGCACCTCGGTCGTCAGGAGCAGTCGGCAAATGTGGCGGCGGCGGAGGAGTTGCAGTTTAGGTTTTTTTTTCATGAGAAGGGACGGAGCAGAGCAGGCCGAGTGGTTGGGAGGGGTATCGACACTGCTGTACAATGACCTGGCGGTGGTGAATCGTGGCGGCGGGGCAGCGCGACTGGTGGAGGAGGCACGATGGACGACGACTTGGTGGTGCCTGATCTGGAGGAATCAGCGGCGTGGCTCCGTATCGGTGGCGGTTGAGGCGGAGGCCGAGGAGGAAGTCGCCGCAGCAGTTTGTCGGAGGAGACCGGCGCGGTGGAGAGGGAGGGGGGGGCGACGGCGCTCGCAGAGGAGACCGACGCGGTGGAGAGGCGAGGGGCGGCGGCGCGGTGTGGAGACCGGATCGGCAGCGGCGGCGGTGGCGCAGGGCGAGCGCAAGGCGCGCGTCTGGAAGGGGCGAGCGCGATCTGATCGAGAGAGGTAGGGAGTCGTGATCTGCGCCACGAGTCTGGTGACGCGTTTTGCGCGATACTATGGGGTGCGCGATTTGTTATCAATCCGAGCCGTCGGATCGATTTCATCTGTTCGATTTTGGACGATTTGGATCTGTCACATGATGAATGATGAATGAGTAAAACCACTTGTTGAACTATACAGGTAGAGTCGCTCAAAAAAAAAAAGGCATATCAATATGTGATTCCATCGAATGGTTGGGCAGTTACTGGTTCGAATTTGCCAGTTTTTTTAAGGTGAGGCCTATATCTTCATCTCTACTAATATAAAAATAGAAAATGTTTTTACCGATATTTTACTACGTTGTCTGTGTTTGAGTCGATTTTTAAGTTTGTTCGCTTTTCAAAATATAGGAATCGTATAAAAATCCCTTTAAAAGTTAACTTGGGATGAGAGTTGGACTCCTAATTGCTTTAGAGATTCTGCCAGGCCATAAGAAAACAAAATACTCCCTCCGTTTCATATTATATAAGACTTTCTCGCATTGCCCACATTCATATAGATGTTAATAAATCAAGACACCTATATATATCTATATTCATTAACATTTATATGAATATGAGCAATGCTAAAAAGTCTTATAACCTAAAACGGATGGAATAGAAGATATGGGCATCATCCCAACATAGGTTTCAAATTGGATATCAATAATATCTCGAAATAAAAATCTCATATACTTCTATATCTATCTATCTAAGCATGGCTCAAAAAAACACCACGTTCACTCTTGAGATATAGAAATTACCACGTCAATTGAAGAAAATAATTATTTACTAGCTAATTGCCCATCCGTTGCAACGGATTATTTGATAAGTATAGTTTTTAAAAATTAGGAGTTCCCCTTGGTTGATTAAACATATAATTTCCAACACTGAACTTTAAGTCAATTCTATAAGTAGGTAATGTAGAAAAAGTAGCAAATAAATTACTGCTGAGTAGCATTTTAATTATAAGGCACTGCACGATCAATCAAAAAAGAGTGGCTCAAACGTTACGTAGAAATTATTGAAATCAAGGCGACTATGTATAGCTCAACTGAAAGGCCCAAGTCAACTTCGCACGTGTGTACTAATTAGACAACAGTGTAAGTTCCAGGGCCCGCTAAAATTCCTACACACTACATCCTCATCCCAACATATTGAAGCGGCTCAATAGCTCACCTGTTTGAGTTGTCTGGAAGTAGGGATGAAAATGGTACGAAAACGAATGGAAACCATCTTTATTGTTTTCTTTTTCTTTTTCGGAATCGGAAACCCTGGACACGAAAACGGAATCAAATATTGCCGAAACCAAAACCGAAACAAAAACGGACCGTCGCTGATACAGTAACGAAAATTTATCGGAATAAAAAACCCCTCAAACTAAGCTTTAAACTATGTCAAATCCAATTCTCAAGTCTCAAATTTCAACATTACATCACAAAACACAATCATGTTAAGTCCAATTCTCAAGTTTGAATTGGGTGTATTGGGTTGGGCTGAATTGAGTGTCTTAGGAATTAGGATGCTGAATTGGATTGGGCTGGGGAGGAATTATAGACTATGGTATGGGTCTTTAATATTCCGGAAATTCAGAAATTTTTCGGAAAGTTTCCGACCGATTCCAAGTTCCGACGAAAATCATATTAGATTACATTTCCGAGAAAATATTTCTGAATTCATTTCCGTTTCTGAAAAATTCCAACCAACAGATTCCGTTTTCAAAAATAGATCCGGAATCCAAAAAATTTCCGTACTGTTTTCATCCCTGCCTGAAGTGGTGCTAGCCTGCTAGGGAGAACCTCCACGACTCTAACGGACTCCAAACAACGAATCTTATGTGTGTTTCTCGATTGAGATTGTTGTTAAAATTTGAGTTTTCAATTCGTCTAATAAGTTTCCGATGGCTTTGCCCTTTTCTTGATTTTGATATGAAATCTGCACAATTCCTACCTTTTCTGTGAGATACAAAGATCATAAAAATATTAGGCTCTCTCGCAAAAAAGTATCTATGAAACAGTTCTTCGTCATTATGTTATACATGAAGCACTAATCTGCAAATTGCCACAAACTTATCCATTCTCCCGTCAAAATTTCCCCAAATACCAAGAGCGTCGTCCTCTTCCCAAGTTTCGCGTCCAGCGTCGCTGCTCCTGGCTCCCGCTCCCCCTCCCATCCTCCACCGCGAGCTCCTCCTCCCCCTCGGCCCCTCCCCTCCTGGTGGCACCTCTCCCCCTCTCATCCCCTCTCCCGACCAGCAGCGCCGCTCCTCCTCCGCCGCCCCCTTTCGACCGCTCCCCCTCCCCCTCCCCTCACCGGCGTTGCTAGTCCCTCTCCTCCTCTTCCTCCTATCTCGCCAACACGGCGCCAAGACAACGAAGGCACGACTCCATTCGCGAGCGGAAAAGAAGAGAGATGGGTGGAGTGCGGGGGCTTCCCCCAGGTAGATCCGGCAGCACAGGCGACGCCGGCCGCTTCCCACGACCCGATCAGGCGGTGGCAGCGACTTCCCGTGGTGGATTCGACGGCAATGACGGTGCTGGCGGCTTCCCACGGACCGATCCGCCGGTGGTGACGGCTTCGTGCGGTGGATTGACAGCAACGACAGCGGCGGCGGCTTCCCGCAACAGATCCGTGTCGGAAGCACTCCAGACTTTTCTTTATATTAGAAAGATGAAGCAAATAAATCAATTCATCAAACGAACATAAGGAAAATATCCGACGCTTCGAGAGAAAGATATTGGAGATATTGACAGGTCTTTAGCCTGCCAGTCGACTTCAGCCTGAGATGTGCCCGTCAAACCACTCGAAGGTGGCGACCAGATGTGTTATACATTTAGGAGACTTACAAAATGGTTAAAGATCTACGACATCTCAAATATCCTTAAATCATACTCATGTTTAATATGTTCCTAACAAAAGAAACACCCTAAACTTTTTCATCCAAGCTCATGATATCCAAATATAAGGAGTTCTAGTTTTAACATAACTCTCACAACTCAGTTCTAAGATACATATGGCCGACCGGCCAAATAATTAGGTTCGCGGAAGCATCTTCTACCCAAAAGATCTTTTATGCAACCAAAAGATCTTTTATGCAACTGACTAGGGTAGACCCTAGTAAGAACCGTCCTGGAAGAACGAATCATCACCCTCGAAGTCATCCTCCTCCGGAATGACATCACCTGCAACCAACCCTAAATAACAACAATACAACAACAAAATGCAAAAGTCACTACATTAAAAAAAATATACTGGAAAGCGCAAGGCAATCCTAATACCCTACATGCAAGGCTTTCATCCAAGGAAAGGTATAGTAAGTTTCTTTTCAGCATAAAGCAAATTTATTTTGCACAACATATTTCAAAATCAATTTATTTTCCAATAAATATTCAGCAAGCATGTACTTAGCATATGGACATCAAAGTAGGCATTTATCATGTATAAACACACACCTTACTGCCCTCCAAGACAGCAAAGGAATCATTCCAAAACTCAACACAATTTGAAGATAAATTCAGCATTTTAAAGAATAAACACAAGTCTACACTCTACACTCAACACATATCCACATGCCGCTCATGACCGTGAGCACGGGTAATCGATTAGTTTTTATTCTGCCGTGTTTGTACACTTTACCCACATGATGTGAAATAATAATAATGCAATGCATGGCACGCGATACATAAGTATCCGATTTATTACCCACAACAAAGCCTTTCCAAAATTCATGTTTTAGCCTTACACCAGCACGTGTTACTCCATCCTAGACATACTTAGAATATGTCTAGAACCGTTAAGTGGCAGGCCCACGCTTTAAACTTAACGCCGTGGTGGCGAACATCGAACGGACCCTACCACGTGGCACAATACCGTTGTATTGGACAGACTTAGTCACCTAAACTACCACATCGGGGTAAATAGGATGTTCCGATGAATTATCGACTAATTCCTCAGAATTATCGACTAACCCCTACACACCGGCCTACTAGGATGTAAGGCTAAACCATAAATAGTTTACTAAGCCAGGGCTATCCCATACTAGCACATGTAGTCGTACTGTATATATAATGAACTGACATTGAGTGAAATTCTTAAGCTAGTCTGGGCACACGCTCCCCCAATCAGTATACAACTAATCACCAGATGTATACCACATGAGGGCCAAACTTAAAAATTTAAGTTTTCCATCATTTTATTTGTCAAAAACCTTTTTTAAGGTATGAAGAATTTGCTATAAAGAATTTGCTTGGAGAAATTTCCCCTTTCCTTGGAGAAATTTTTGTAGTTATAAAGAATTTGCTATGAATTTTTTTAAGGTATACCATTTTTCAGATGACAGGAAACTTATAGATGCATTTTTCTCATTTTCTCAAAATCATTTCTCTCTCGGGTCCACCAGTCAGTTACTGGTCTTTTGCGCAAAGACCCTCTGGCTTTTGGGATATAGATCCCTCAGTCCTTAAGCACTTGTTTTAGGATTTAATGCAAAAAGATGCTTGGGTTTTAGTTTATTTACAAATTAGTAATGGTCCCACATGTAATTGTCTGTTTGCGTTGCTAATACACCCCAGAAAGTTTTAAACTCATGCAAATCTACCCCTCTGTTCTCAACAGAACAGGGCAACTGCTTGGGACCTCTTTCAAAGAGTGCTTTTTTTCCCCTGCCCTGTGCACTAACAGAAGGGTATACACTTGTAATGTTTGGATACCTGGCTGAAATTATAAGTTAAAAAAATTAAAACCCCTTGGACCCTGGCCGTTTTGGGAGGATGATTAGCAGTAATCCAGGCGGAAATTGGATTATCCTGTGCAAGATTTATGAACAGCACTTGTTGATCCTTAGTTTGAGGAGCTAAATCAAAATGAACAAGATTACCGAGACAAGTTAATGAGATGGGGCCGTAATGGGACGTTCAAAATGAATTTATCTTTTTATTTTTATGTGTTACGCTGTAATAATTGCTGTAGCTCGTTGAAAAAAACAAATGCTAGGATATTCTATTCCATTATCTGAAAAATTTCAAGATGACATAGAGATCGGAGAAAAACAATCAAACTTAATTATACCACAAAAGATAGAAAGAGTGAGCCTGTGAGGCATGAAAACTCCATCGAATCAGTGTAGTGACGATGCATATGGATATGGACAAGTGAAACCGTCGAACAATACTTGGTGTTTGGCGGTGGATCTATCGCTTCCTGTTGCTGGGCCTGAAGCCCGACTTTTTTTTTAATTTTATTTATAAAAGGTCTGTAGATTTGGACCGAGTGGGCCTTCGCTACTACTGGGATATGGACCAGCTGGGCTGTTGTTGGGTCTTGGAAACCTAGCTAGTTGATGAGTAGTACGTACAGTGTATAAAAGGAAGCAGCGTCGCCATCGCGGGTGAAGGCGAGAGAAATACTCCTAGTATCCAAATCCAAAGGGGTTCGCATTACGCATTGTGTTTGCGGGTGATGGAGGGGTTGTCGTTGGAGGAGAAGCCAATTGCAAAGGGGAAGGTGGCCGTGGAGTAGGAGGCGGATGAAGACCAAGACGACGACGATGGTTATTCGGTCTCGCTCGTCGGTCTAGGTGAGCGCCCCCCGTCAACCCTCACCCCGCCCGGCGACGGCGAATGAGATTTGCGATTAGGGTTAAGTTTGCCCTATTTGTATTTTAGCTTCTGTACGTACGTTCCACAAACTGTACATTTGAATTTTTGTTGTTTTAATTTGCTGCCTGATGGATGGATCGATCGAATTTAATTAGGTGCCCAGCTGGGGAATGGTGGAGTGATCTTGGTACTGTTTGAGACGCCCACTGGATTTGCACTTTTCAGCTATGACGGCATCAAACTCCTCCGCCCACATGCCCTCATGTTATTAATTCGCTAGCTACTTGTGTTGAATTTGAATATGAGTATGACCTAACTTTCCTACATTCTCGATCTATGCTGTGCAGGATGTATGGGGAGAATTTGTCATGGAATTTATGCTTCAATACGTTAGTTCGATCAATTCCTTCCCCCTAGCTAGCTACTTTCTCTCTTTCTTATTATGATTTGACTCTTCTGATGATGATTGTTATTTCTTTATTATATACTAGCTAGCCTATTTAAGTCTTGCATTTGCGCGATTTCAACCTTCATCTATGTTAGATCGATGTACATGTTACTGTGTTGTTTATAGTAAATATTTATACAAGTATATTTTTGCACAAAACTCATGATACTAATTACAATAGTAAAGAGTGATTGTTCTTCCTCCCCAAGAGTTTTTATACAAAGAATTTGTAAGATCAAAAAAAATTTTAGTCGAGGGACAGTCCACTTCCCATTAGCTTAGCACATCGATCAGCTTATACTGAGCTGCACTGCAATTATTGACGACTTGAACAGGCTACAACTTAATTACTCCCCTTGCAGTCAAGATTAAGGCATGACAATTGATTGACTGTACGTTTCCTCTTCCCTTAACATGCTAGCTTGTTGCTGTTCGTTTTTATAGCATCCTGTTTGGCTGAAAGAGTTTCAAGCTTTCGAGGACAAGGCCAGCGCCCTTAGCCTTGATACTGGTGTTAGCGAACAGCTTGCAGGCATGATCCGGAGGTTTATCTGTCCTGGGCAGACACTAGCAGTTGGAAAGCAAGAATATGTAACTATCATTCAAAGTAACTTGGTTAGTGTTGTGTTTCCTTGTCTGCTTAATTACATATGTGAACAATTCTTGCAACTGATTTTTTTCCCTGTGATTATTTCAGGGAATAAAGTGCCTATGGAATGCTGAAGTGATGGAGTTGATGTGGGGCCTGAATAATCTAAAGGAACATTTAGTACCTGATGGAAAATCAGAGCTGAGTAAAGAGGATTGCCTCCCGATGTGTGAAGGGATGAAATTTACCCTGAATAAGTATGGCTTCGGTGATCTCAAACCAGAGATGGTGAGTGAGCGAGCTCATTACCTAGCTTGTTTCCCAACATAACATGCTTTTCTGCTTTCTTGATAACTCCCTGCACTTGGGAGCTAGCCCTTAAATTTTTACTACTTATTTGGACACTTTTTACAGAATTTTGCCGTTAATTAATTTGCTCTTTTTTGAATTAGTGATCGATATATGTGTGTAGCAATATAATTGATGTTCCTTGCATCGATAATCCAGGTTACTAGAAGTATCATTGAGGCGACGGGCCTCTTGTACGAGACTGACTATCATGTGAGGAAACATGGTGAGAGCATGCGCTATGCTGGTAAGCACCTGAAGGAGACATCTGGCATCAACGCTGAGGATTGGGACCTGCTGAAACTTGCAACTGCTATCATGATGTTATGTTACCCTAATGGTGAATACAAGTTGGTTGGGAACCTTCCCGAGGTAAAATCATAATAATATTTATTTATAGTTTGCAAATATAGGTTTACTTAAAAGCCGTGGGAACGCTGGAAGATTAGGAGCGCCACGTCATCGATTTTTGCAAAAAAAACCATTGCACTTTCGGTTAATTACGGGACTGTTCCTGCTAACGTCCTCCGTCCGATCTCACGATAGGCTGATCTGACCGTCCACGTGTCCCATGCTGCCGGCCCTTCCACACCCGTGGCATCGTCGGATCCGGAATAGACGGTGCGGATTTTGCTACCCCGCACCAAACCCTAGCCGTCTCGCCCACCCACGCGCGGCTTGCGCAATCGCGTGCGCCCATGCCCTCCCCCTCTCCTCGCACACGTCGCCGCCGCCGTAATCGCATCTGCCCATGGCGACCCCGGTCTCCTCCGCGATGGAACTTCCCACTCGGAGGAGAGGGGTGCAAGCCGCTGCCGCCTCTTCTCCTCTTTTATCTCTGCCTCGCCACCGCCTCCCCGCTTCTTCCCTCACGTGTGCTGCCGCCGTAATCTCGCCCTCCTAACCGTCAACGGAGCGCTTCCGCCACTGCCGCTCTTTCCAATCAAGCCACCGCATCTGCAATCGAAGATCCATCCGCCTGGAGAAGAAGAACATGAGCCGCCACCATCCTCATCTGCCCGTGAGGACGGTTGCATCTTGGTGAGGACGGGGGCAAGGCACTGGCACGCGAATCCCCCAACGACGCCCTCCACCTTTTTTTTTCCTCTGTGGCAGTGCGCTCCCTCCCCCTCGCATCAAACATTTTCTTTTTCTGCAGCAAAGTACTCCCTCCGTCCAAAAAAAAAAAAGGCAAACCCTGGGTTTCCGTGTCCAATTTTGACTGTTCGTCTTATATGAAATTTTTTTATAATTCGTATTTTTATTGTTGTTAGATGATAAAACATGATTAATATTTTATGTGTGACTTGTCTTTTTAATTTTTTTCATAATTTTTTCAAATAAGACGAACGGTCAAACGTTAGACACGGAAACCAGGGGTTGTCTTTTTTTTGGGACGGAGGGAGTATGCATGCTAGATCTCATCACATTTACATCAGGTAATTTTCCCCATGTAATTTTCTCTCTCATCTGGCTGGATTTAATTTTTTGGTTCGATCCCCGTATTTTTCTTGCAGCAGTGGAAGCAAGCTATCTAATGGCAATAGATCTGCTGGTACTCCACTACATAGGTTGCTTGGATCTTATTTCTACCAGATGCAGGTAAGATGTGCATATGTTTCTGATTTTATTAGTTGTTTTTGTTAGTTCAGGCATGTCCGTGTTCATCCGATTGTTGTCCTAATCATTTGTACATTCATTACAATCAAATAGTTGGAGTTAGCACATATATCTTAATCCACTCAGGAAACTTCTCCCAACCCTGGTGAGTTTTCCCCAAATCAACCCCTTAAATTTTGAAGTCTGTAGTTGAGTGCATATATCCATTTACATTTTGCTGGCTGGAATGCCCTCTTGATGTTTTGATATGGGGAAAAAGTTTACAGATGGAGAAGAATGAGCTACTTAGGAGCCCATACGAATGTGCTGTTCTCCAAGAGGCATGTGTGGCGCAAATGCAGCCTTCGACAGAGTGCCCACAGCAAGCTCTGTTAAACTGCTTTGCTTGGCCATCCATCCGATTGCTACCAGCCCATGTATACGATGGAGTATTTCACATGATAACAAGCTATATTATTATCTCAGTACATCTTATTTCACTCCACATGATTATTAAATGTTTAGCTTCTATATATTCAAGGTCGCTTGCCTACATCAAACCTTTGATTCAAGGTAAAACCCTTTAAGTTCTCCAAATATTGTTTATTGAGTCTAATGTGAATTATTTTCTTTACTAATTTGCCTCTGCAGCCATGTTGTCAGAGATGAGCATACCTTAGGTAGCTAAATCCTACTGTTCTCGAGAGCAATTCTTACCTGAATTAGCTCCGCAAACCAATTGTTCTTGCTGCTATAAAATTTGCTCCATGTTAGAGCTTCCTTTTGTTTTTGCAACCCAATTATTCTCGCTGCTAGAAGATTTGCTCCACGTTAGAGCAAACCAATTGTTTTTGCATGCCCAAATTACAAGTGTGAAGCAAGTTGTGTTCAGTTTTTTCTTCTTACTCATGCGGGAAAGTCTAGATGTGCTTCTTCGTTCTCTGCTCGGTAGTCTATATAGATCAGTTTTACCTGTTTACACATGAGTACTTGCAGTATTAAGTTGAATCGTTCACATGGACTCCCCATGTTCTCCTCTTTATATGGCGCACATATTCTGTCACCGGAATAACCTATTATCTAAACATACAAGTTATGTATTCAACTGTAATAGCAATTATTCAGCTTTTTACTTTTTCAGGAGGAGTTTACCGAAATTGTTCTTTGATAATATAACATGCCAGGACTATTTTGCAATTTCCACAGAGAGGATTACACATTTAGTACCATGAATCTTGATCTAGATATTATGAATAAGCCAAAAGTTCTCTAGACCTCATGGGTCATGGCCTCCTAGGTCGTGCTTTCTATAAATTAAAACTTATACGTAAGTTTACAAACCATTAAGAAATTGTTATTCTCAAATTATGACGGGATTGTCATATTGTTCAGTTCATGAACTGTATAATACATCTTATTGCATAGAAAGTCTAACTTTAATCTTTACATCCAACTCTAGGAGATAAATTTATCATGTTTGTGAAAATATGTTAAGGTCCAGCAATATATCTAATTCATCATTAGTAAAACTTAAAACATATTATCTAATTAAGAGTTATTGGATTAGGTTTTTCTTGGGTTGCATTGCAAGACCTATTAGCTGAGGAATAGTTTCATTTTCAGTATTGGATCATCAATAGTTTGGTAATATTTGATTAGTAGAATGTGGTTTTTTGCTGCCCCTTGAATGCTACTAGAATAATTAGTACACTTTTATTCAACTCATTCTTTGTGGTTTACATGAGAACTTTTTAGTTAACTCATTTTGCTTTATACTAATATAGATCCTATCAAATCTTTATTATGACATCTCATGTGGTCATTTTGAACTTCTATTACGGACATTATCTTCGTTGACCAATTTTCATGGATTGCTTCCTTATGTTGTAGGTGGTGTTCAAAATCAGCAGATGGTTCATCTCTACTACTTGCAGTCTGATTCTACAGTATTTCCCTAACCATAGCTACCAATAATTTTTATGAAAAAAATCCCATTTCAAGTATACCTCAAATCTCAAATTGCATATGACCAGTGTTAATGATTTGTTATATTGACTCTTAAGTCGATTTTGACACATCTTGAATTTAATTAATCCAAACAAATAGATTTATCTTTACATTTATGCTTTGTCAGGAATTGGTGGGCATCTGGACTCCAGATATTACACTGATATCTCCGTGTTCTTCCGCGAAGCAAGAGAAATCTGCAGTATATCTGAATTGTTAAGCTATGCAAAATTATTTATATGTACATGAAAGATGCAATTTTCAATTTATTTAGTTTTTATATAACGTGGTCAGTTTATAGCACAGTTCTTAGATTGATGCATTATCTTTTAGGTTGCAGTAACATATAAAGGCCTGCTTGGCCATGAATCATGTATGCATTTTGTACATTTGCAGTGAGATTTTGACTATGCACTGCTCTTTACACATAAAAGTGCAAGAGAATACTTATTATGCATTGTTATAGTTAATACAATCATCATCGCACGCAGCGTAGCGCGTGTTTCTTTCTAGTATTTATTTTGCCAGCTGCTTGTTGCTGGGTATGAAATTAATTTGTCATTCAATTGAATTAATGTGCCAAAGTGTACATGGATCAGCTTTTTGGAGATGATTATTCAAAGTTGGTGGATGATGCGCCTAAATATAAAGGTATATTCCGGAAGTTGTCTTGCTTGAGGGCTTATGCAGAAATGGTGAAGTCCCGTAGAATTAGGTCTAAGGCGGCTCGTCGTTTGGACTCTTTAGTCACGGCAGCTGAACGCATATACGACGAGGCTCAACAAGCGCAGCCAGGAGTGATCAAACAAGAGTAATACTCCACTGTTCTTACTATGCTCCCAAATTAAGCGTCCCAGCAGCTGGGCTGCACCTGCGTGCCCTGGTGTTTGATGCAGACATTAAGAGTGTTTGGTAATTGGTATGTCACCTTACTAGTGATTTGATCACTCTAGTACTCTTGTGTACTCTCAATGACTGCATTTCAGACTGAGCTAGATGAATCATCAGACTATATATCGTGCATGGCTCTGTCCCTGTGGTTTACCCTGTTCTTCCTTTATATATATGAATTGGACAAGAGTGTTTGGTTGGTATTTTTACTATGGCACCTTATCCTTACTAGTGATTCCATCACTGTATGTACTCTTAATGAGTGCATCGATCAATTTCAGAGTGAGATGAATCAATGAGACTAGCATGCATGCATGGCTCTCTCCTTGTGATTTACTACTGCAGTCTTCATAATTGAATTGTCTGAACTTTGCCATTCCTACAAAGTAGGAGAGTACTGATCGATCTCCTCGCCCCTTTTCATTGTCCTGCATTAATATTAGGTACGTAGTTCAAATGCTCAATGGTTCAACATATTCAGAATTAATTTCTCTGTAGGGTTGTTTCTTTCCCTTGCCACTACAACATATTCAGACATTAGACGGAAAGTCATGCAACAAATTCTGTTTTTATAGTCGAGCCACTAGTAAGCCTCCCTAGCTTAATGTGCCTCGGTTTTCTTGGAATGCATTTTTTTTGAAAAGAGGTCTTGGAATGTATTTTAACTTGTTGCATAGATAGTCCATCAGCGTGGTATAAGAGCAAGTTTAATAGTATAGCCCACTACGAGCTCCAATTCATATATAGCCAATCTAATAGCCAATTCATACAATAGTTGCTTACTATACCATTAATATATGGTCCCATATATCATACACACATTGTATTTTGGAGTCTGTACTGCGGCTGGCTACAGATCTGTAGTCCACTACTCTTCTCTCTCATCTTTTATCTCATTTAAATATATTTATAGCTGGCTAATAGTCTGCTATTGTACTTGCTCTAAGTAACGACATCCGGTTCAACACCATCTCTGCACATCTTTTTTGAAAATCTCAATAGCCTCTTTGGGCTTTCCTGAAGAGCTAGCAATATCCATGCACAAGACTAGTATACGTGATGCAATCAGGCATATCCGCATATGTAACACCGTTCTTAAGCATCCTGGCAAGGATCTCAGCGGCCTTGTCCATTGCTCGAGCCTTGGATAGGGCAGAGGTAATCGAGTTGTAAGTTGTGACAACCCACGCCGTCATTACCAAAATGACGTCACTAGTCCATGGATTATTATTCGCCATAGCCGCACTCTAGCGAATAATGATCCACATCAGAGATAGCAACAGAATAATAGCTAGAAGGTTCAGATAACATTACAATACCATGTCACGCAGGGCTAAAGTCTGAAACAGGGCCTTACACGTTCACCCATTAATAATACAAGTTTCAAGCAGGAGCTAGCAATACTTTGGTCACTAGGTGCTCCAATATTCCAGGTTCACTAACAAAGCTACTAGACCACTCCCCTGCATACATCTACTCATCCCATCCTCCATAATACATGTCATAGTCATAAACAACATCCCCTTGATTTTCAGCACACCAAGGGGCATAGTACTGATCCTCCAACCCACCACTTAACTCACTGGCTTGCCCAGAAATGTTTGCATCTAAACAAAGAGGGTTAATAGCAAGGGTGAGTACAAGTACTCAGCAAGCAATATTAATAGCAAGGATATATGACATGCAATTTCATAAATCATATCAAGTCATCAATTCTCAATTATAATTCCTTTTTAAAAATGATTCTTGTAAGAGAAGTCCATATTTAATTTATAAGAAAAACTACTAATCACTTGTATAGTGAGAAAGAACCGCAATAGGCTCCCGTAGCCTCTAATCCAAGAGATAGGCGTGAATCACGATTTAGTTGAGCACTGCGCAGGCTTGTATCACTGTACCCATATTCACTCTATATATTACAAGTCGCGTATTTGTAATATTTAGAGTACAACACACTTCTCTTATTTCAGCACATTACACTCCGCTCCACCACATGTTACTATCTTGATGGGGTTTATATCATCTCCCATCCGAGTACTAACGTTCTATGGGGTTTATATCATCTCCCATCTTACCACTATCTATCATTACGCACCATGCGGAGTGTAACAACTTGATAAGATACAAAGCGTTGCTCGCCTTGCGACAAGGATATGGTTGACACGATTTTTATATGGCACACGTATACAAGTGAGAGTGATTTTTAGTCCTTATATTATAGTCATATGTAAAGGGTCCCGCTTCCAGTCAATCTCCATCCATGGGCACCCCCTACCCTTCTAGTAACTTAGTAAGTATTGGAAGGTCAGTTGCTCCAACTGTCCCCTCCCAGCATCTATCATTCTCCCTATATATATTCCGGCTTATATTTTGTTAAATCCATTTTATGCAAGGCGACAGTATCATGAAGAAAAATAAGGTACGCAAAATAATTCAAATCATCATGATCAAAGGTTCGCTTGCCTGAATCCTCGTAGTTCAAATCGAAACTAGCTGGCACTCCCCACTAACCCGACTCCGCCCCTAGTTCCCTTCCTGCATTCTGTCAAACGCGTCAAGATTTAATTAAACTATACGAATATAAATACAATAATTTACAATTACAAATGTGCTTACAAATTTGTAACCTTTTTATTATACCAAAACTCCAATTGCGATGTGCTAGATAATTTATCTAAAGTATACTTGGACTGCAGATTATTGGGTCCCTATGCTCAAGTTGGTGTTCTGTGTAGCCTACTAATGTGTATCTAGCAATTAGTCCACCTTTCCTTTTCTCCTCTGTTCTCACCTGTACTGTACAGACCTCTCCCCTTCTCTCCCCTTTTATGACTCGTACAGGTAAAAGCATCAGCTAGCTAATCCCCTTCTTCCTTCCTGCATTTGCTGCTAGCAGTGGCTATCTTCTCCCTCAAATCCCCACTCTAGTACTGTTGCTGCTGCCACCATGTTGCTCTCGGCGCCCTCAATGCCCAGGCTACCAACAAGACCTGCCCTCCTAATCCTCCTCCTTGAGCTCTCCAACCCACAGCTCAAAGAAGTGGACTCCCATGGCTAGAATGGAGTCACGCATGGAACTCTAAGCCCAGATGCCCTGACCAGTGCCCCATAGTGCTCGACATCACCGTGCAACCATCCCCTAGGTAAGTGCTCCTATTCTTTACTCCTCCATTTTATCTGCTGATGCTGCTGCTCCTTCTTTCCTATTAAAAACTGAACTAAGGTGCTAGGGAAAACTACACACTGGTGATAGATTGTTTTAAGTTTAATTTACTAGGGAATGTGGTTGTGGTAATATGGGGAAAATCACCTGCTCCCTTTCTGTTGGTGGGTGATGTTTTCTTGATTGATCCCCCACAAGTTTGCAGCTAATGAGCTTCACTCCTCCCCCTGCAGGTCCAGTTCTTCCCCAAACCGGCAGTCCTCCTTCCTACCGAGCTGATGGTGGTGCTCTACGTCACCATTTTCAGGTTGATTGGCTACAAATCTTGGGAATGGTTGGCAATTGAGGTGAAGGTGGAGAGGGGTTGTGTTGCTCGATGTGTTCACTGGTTGAAGGTGATTGTTGTGCCCATATCTATCTCACCTACTTCCACCTTCTCTTACTTATTACCAGGAGGTGTTAGGAATGCTGCCCATACTTCTCCCTGTTGATTTTCACTATTATTATGGGTATGTGTCACAAGCTCACTAGGTGAGAGTTTTTATTTACTCTTTGCACTGTGGTCACCTTGACCACCCTTGACTGGATAAAGAAAATATGGCTTCTTTTATGGTGGTACCAATTGTGGCCGCAAGGGTGAAAGACGAGTTAGTGGCTCATTCGTTAGTTGAATGATGATAATCAAGACTAGCTTAAAGTGTTGATCTATCCTTGATGGCATTGATACCTCTCTGAGTTAGCAGATGAAAGTTGCAGTTTATGGGTGTGACAGCTAATTTGCAGCTAGTATGAACCTCTTATATGCTTATGTATTCAGACCATCTACATTTCTAATTATTTAATCGAATGCACTTCTAGACATGTATTGAAATGCTTTGGGGTTTGCTAACCAATATATGTGGGATTCTGATTCAATGCATGGGAAACTAAGTTGAGTGCCTACATGTGCACTGCTTGGTTCCTTTTAAAACTATAATTATGTGCATAACAACAGATTTATGATTTAACTAAACTGCGGGTTGTTTCATAAGTCCCAACATCTGGTGAGTTTCCCCGAACCAGCATTTCATCTAGGGGTGAAAATGGTAATGGTAATTCCTGGCCGACCGACCGAGCCATATGGAAATAGTAGTCGACAAAAAAATAGACATGGTAAAAATATGGAAATGGAAACGGAAATGATTTTGTTGTTATACCGATCGTTTCTGTATTTACCATATTTTTGTAGAAATTTGTGTTTCTTATAATTTGGTAATTACCGTATTTCTAAATATATCGATATTTATAAGGAATGTCACTACTTGACACAGTTTAGACATTGATTGACTCTTCAATCAAATTCCTAATTTGAGCGCATGGCTAAAATGAGTTAATTTATAGTTTATATAGTATAAGCTTGAATTTATTTATACATATAACATATTTATGTAAAGTTAAATACTTCCTCAGTTTCACAATGTAAGTCATTCTAGTATTTCCCACATTCATATTGATGATAATGAATCTAGATAAATATATATGTCTAGATTCATTAATATCAATATGAATGTGGGAAATGCTAGAATAACTTATATTATGAAACGGAGGGAGTATCTGTTTTTATAGTTTAATGTTTCCGTATTTCGTTTTCGTTTCTGACTTTACCGAATCTGATATTTCCGATATCGTTTTCGGAATCCAACTTCCAATCAAAATCAGCAAGTTGGAGAAGAAACCAGAAACCGGAGGCATGCGGCAAATGTTCTGATCGAGTGTCGGATGCCTAACAGTGTGACCCTTTTTCCGACAAATTTCAATCAAAATTCAGTTAGATTTTGATTTTTCAAAATTTAAATTCTCAAAAACCCATTCGAAATGTCAGTCAGAATCGGGCTGGAAATTGAAGCCTGACATGGTAATGCTACTGCTACCAAAGGTTGCCACTATATATGCATGTGCTGGAAATGAATCTAATGAGGCTCATTTGATCCCATATATAAATATTTTTTCTATATATGAACTTGATCAAACTTAATGGAGGAAGCTACCCATCGGACGTCCGATGCCAAAAAAAAATCGAACACTCAAATGTTGCAGTTGACCAACAAGTGAAACATTAAGTTATATATGGTGAAACAGAAAAATAAGCAACTGAAACATTTAAATATTTTATGAAACATGGTAAAGATACATGTTGAAACATGTCGCTGTCACGTATGAAACAACAAGTATTAACGGATTGAAACATATGTTTTTATTTTAACAAAATATAATCATGTGATATCTTGTTGTAAAGATTTAATTAAAACGAATACAATGGTGTGATCTGATCATAGATTGGATAAATAATTTAAGAGAAAAATCATTTTGAAGCTTCCTAAAATACATGCATGTGTGCATGGATGAGGTGGAGAGAGAGTGGTAGCATGTAGTTTCAGGAATTTTATGATGCACGCTGAAGACGCATATTGAAACATATCACTATCACATATGAAACATTTAGTTTTAACGGTTTGAAACATATGTTTTTTTGACATAATATAATCATATGACATCTTGTTGTAAAGATTTAATTGCAACGAATGCAACATTGTGATCAGTTCGTAGATCGGATAAGGAATTTAGAAGAAAAAATTATTTAAAGAGAGGAGGAAAGAATGAAAAGAAACAGCTAGGCACAGGGTTCGTTCGTGGGGTAGATGAGGCGTTCGGTATAAAGTGTTTTGCAAACTTAATTAATTAATTCTTAATTAATTAATTAGAATGGTTTGAGGAAGGACAAAAACAGAAACGTGAAACATGCATGGCGCAAGCTGATCATATCACCCTCGCACTTTCTTACTCTCGGCCACTTTGGTTGCTAGCTTCAAGCTGCTATAATCAATATATATGCCCATGCATTATGTTGATATATATATGTATATATAGGGCAATCATACACATGCATTATCTTGTCATAAGTCAAATTAATATCCTAATGTTGACAATAAAACACAAGGCCTGAGAGATCTGCTTAACTTACTAAATTTGGTTGTTAACACCAAGTTTGATCAAATTGATAGAAAAACAAGATAACATTTATGGTATCAAATGTCCATCCCTGCACCTACGCGCTCAGGGCCGGTCTCTCAATTTTTTTTTCAACTTCTCTCAACTTTACTGGCCGATTGTTTGGGTTGCACAATTGCACACTTCAGTCCCTGGTTGAGCATATAGCGGCTATGCTATGCACATGTTTGGATATGCTATAGTGTAAATTGAGAGATTTAATTTCTATTAAGATTAAATTGTGCATTGCTGAATGGGTACTCACTCTTCTGTCAATGTTTTTTTTCTTTACTCTGCTTACCAAAAAAACACCACCAGAAGAAAATTCTTTCAGTTGTGTAAATCAATTTTTCCCTGATCTAATTAACCAGCTGCACAAAAATAAGTAACTAGGCGTTACCCCTGCGTGCAGCGAGGATGGGAAGTAGGGGCGAAAACGGGATGGGTATTTCCCGACCGCTCGCCCGGCCACATTATTTTGAAACAAATTCAGAGTACCAGGACTTTTCACAGATATCAGGTCCGAATACGGGTCTTTTTTGGCGGATATGAGATCAGGTTCAAGAACGTAGTATCCGACGGATACGAATTATCTGGTAAAAAATATGAGTATTACCCAGATAAATATATGGATATTACCCGTATTATTTGCTACAAGCCTAGCCAAAAAGGCCAATCATCATCAATCCACTAACCATTCACCACCAGGCCCAACAACCCATCATATAAATTTATCTTTTGGCTTGATTGTAACCCTGAATATGATTTTTTTGAGCCACTTTTTGGTAATATGTATTAGTACTAATACGAGATACTACTGTTACGATGAATTGGTGATAATTAAATGATGTCTATTAGTATGTGCCTATGTGGTCCTATGAATGATGCTTATTGATAACTTGTATGGGGTGATATACTAATATTGTGACTCAACTATGAGATATATTGAGCTTGATGACCTAATATTCTCAGTTGTACGTCATATATGAAATGATTTTCAATTCTGAGGTATTGTACCTATTTGTTTCCTATAGTCCTAATGGTCTAATAGTCGTATTAGATATATGAAATTGTTGAATGGTTATTGCCTATGTGGTATATGTGATTGTTGCTTTGACTTGATATCAGAATAAATATTTGTAACCGATAGTGTACGTATCCGCTTTGGTACGTATTCGTTCCGTATTTTTGTCCAATATTATCCGAGTTTGTATCCGTATTTGACACTATCTGTTTCCGACCCGATTCCGATTATAAAATGTGGGTTAGGATATGGGAAGGGTGAGATCCAACCCAATCGACCCGTTTTCACCCCTATTGGGAAGGCACCATACGAAATATAAAGTTCAAATGGTGGCATAGAATCAAGAAATAACCGAATATGCCGAGTTACTAACAAAGTATTAAGGCACCTTAAGTTAATAATTAATAATGGCATGTACGTTTACAATTTGACCCATAAAATTGCTTTCAGTTGTAAAATTTTAAGTAATTAAATGATTCGTAATTTTCCAATGTCACATAAATTTTTCATCCGTCAAAACGCATTTCCAATCGAAAAATTCATAAATTTCGGTCAAAACGCTTCTCCGATTGAACGATAGCGGCGTGCAGGCATCAGCTGGCCAAGCACGTTGGGCCATCCTGGCTGGTTTAAGGGCCTGTTCAGATTACAGCCAAAATAAACCTTGGCAAGATGGCAATATTGTCAAAATTTTGGCAGGATTTCTTATGTATTTACTAAATTTGACAATAAACTAAACGTAGACATTTTTTTTGGCAATTTTACCAAAAAAAATAGTATGGTTAAAAATGATATCAATCTAAACAGCCCCCAAGGCAAGGGGAGAAGGAGAGAACCAGATGGGCCGAAAGTGGAGAAGGATAGCAAGCCGAACTGGCCTGGAAAGAATTAGGCCGCCTGGATTTAGAAGGGAAATAGAGGAGACTTGGGCCGGGTGGTGTTGGGCTGAAAACAGAATAAGTTCACTGGAGGTCCCTTAACTTTACACCGAATCCTATTTTCGTCCTTACACACTAAAACCAGATACAACCGGTCCCTAAACTATCAAAACCAGTGCAAACGAGGTCCCTCGGCGGTTTGAATGGCGGTTTTGGTTGACGTACTGCCAACGTGGCTGGTTTGACTTGTTTTCGTCCCACGTGGCGCTTAGGTGGCAATTCATACCAAAAAAAAATGTGGCCCCACATGTTAGCTACACACAAAGAATAATTAAAAATAGCGGGGCCCACGTGGGCCCCACATGTCAGTCTCACCTCCCTTCTTCTCTCTCTTCTTCCTCATCTTCTCTCTCTTCTCTCTCCCTCTCTTCTTTCCTCTCCTAGACCTCGACGAGGTGGTGCCCTCGGCGACCTCGCGCGCCACCGCCGCACTCCACCTCCGAGTCGTCGCCTTCCTCTCCCCTCCTCCACCACCCTCGCCACCACCGGTCCGCGTCGGACCGCCTCGCGCACGCTTGATGGGCCGCTGGTAGGCCGGCGGGTCCAACTCAACGTAGTGAAAGGAGGAGTTAGGGGAGGCTAACTAGACTTAAGTTGCGGTCTGAGAAAGAAAATGGACTGAAAATAGCCCAGAGAAAAATGAGGATTTTTATTTAAATAAATACTGAAATGATGTTTGTATGATCAAAATTAGCAATTAAGCTCTTAAAATTCCACAAAATTTCAAAGAGTATTAATAATCATACTTAATTTAATAAAAATTAAATTCACCATATCATTTTATTTTTCACACTCACTTTACTTATAAATTAATTTAATTATACACCTACCTACTTAAAAAATACCTAAATATTCCAGGAAATTGATATTTCAATTAATTAC